TCTGATTGATTTCTGCGTCTTCTAAATATTTATCCTCACGCCTTTTAAGTATAATTTTGTCTTTACGCAATTTTTCGCCTTTCTGCTCCAAAATAAACGACTTTCACTTCTTGCTAAAGCAAGAAGGTATGAAACAAAATAACTGCAGTTGCACATTTTGTTACGAGCTATGGTAGGAAAGCAGCTGCTCAGTCAGCCAAAGCTTTCAGCAATTCGTCAAGGTAATCTTTCAACCCCAGAGGAATACCGCTTATCAGTTTTCTTATGATGCAGTATAGCAAGTTAGGGAACAGTGAAATTTAAAGGCGCATCTGTAGCCAACCTGCTTTATGTATCAAATTAGACCTTAAAAATTTAGAGATTGATTTTCTCTGCAATCATAGAATGAACCTAATTTCAAACGTTTGGCCAAAATCGGGCTACAACAAGCTTTAAAACCTAGTTACCAGTCATTTGTTCCAAATTTTTTTTTTGATTTGTGAGCCCCTGAGTTTTGTTGTCGCTGAACTTGATTTCACTCTTCTTCCAGTGTGAACAGGTTAAGGTTACAACGCAGTCCTTTTGTTAAAGTCCAAAAAACAATTGCTTTTTTTTCAAATATATTTCATTTTTTGAATTAAGCTAAGCTAAAGCAAATCGAGGTCAAATATTTTTGATTAAAGAATTAGTCTCACCTTGAATTTGAGAGGTGAGCGTATAACTCTGCAGGCCGCTTGCTTAAATTCGCGACGGAGCTGTGGCTGACACATCGCATAGATTGATAGCCGTAGTGAGCCAGCTAATGTAGTCAGCAACGACACCTGCAACTAAATTTTTGAGAAAATGCTAAGTATACAAGAAAACAGCAAGTCGGGGCATGTTCTCTAAAGCCTGTCACAAAATTTACACGAAAACAATAACGCGGTCAGGAATTTTTAAAATCTGGAAAATTTTTACTGATAGAGTAAATCCATTGACAAAAATTTTGAAAATGCAACATTTCTCAATTCTCCGGTCTGACTAACATTTGCTTCATCGAAAAATGGGCCTTTCTACGGCTTGACAAAAGGAAATTTTGCTAACAGTTTACCACATGCATCAAATAGATTTCTGTTGGTAAATCCACTAAAAAGTACCAGATCGGCGCAAAAAATATACAGCCCAATGTAATCCGTCATTAACGTTTCTATATCAATATATTCCCATATTGTTATAATAACATTAAGCACATTCGAAAGGAGGTAGGTAAATACAACGAATACTAACGTTCTCGTAGCTGCACGCACACGACCCTGCAACAACTACATTAATTCCTTCCTACAAGTGACCATGGGTGACCATTTGAGAGGCCACTTTGGACTCGTAATGCGTCCGAAACCAAGGTGCCAAAACCGTTCTCCATCCCCCATCTCGTTTTCAGATCGCTTGGACGAGATATGCCGATCGGGCAGTCCGAAAAAAAGACAATCCAGAAAAATATACGAGTGACAGGACAAGTAAAGCTCACTGAGGAACCTAGGAATAAGCAAGTTTTGCCTTTAAAAAGGAACACTTCAAAAAAAAAAAACTAAGACTTCGTCCTGGGATTGTATCTGAAGCTGAATTATCCGGAGATACACATTAGACTCGAATTCGCTCATTTTTGATTTATTGAAAAAAACGCCTAAATTTTGTGCAGGAATTCCGTCCTCCATTAAACTCTTTTAAACCAGAAGCACAAAAATGCAGAAACGTGAGCTTTGCGTGTTTTTTGGCTGTACGTAAACCCATGGGTGTTCGTTTCCCTGGCATAGCCTTTCTTAGAGCACTGCTACACTAATCTAAATTTTTAGCCAGAAAAATTGGAAATGTGGATTGTGAGGGACCTTAAATTGTATTATGCTTTGTTGGTCAACTGGTGCTGCTGCGTGCTGATTTCGTTGCAGCACAATTACGATTTGAGCATTCAGGAAGGCGAGCAAGAAGAAGGGCAGTAATATTGTGATGATGTTACGGAACCAAAAGCGCCACAGTACGTTGTATGTCGGATTGAGCGCTGTTGCCGACAATTCTAATGTGTATTCCGCTAGCGTACCAGAACAATCCACATTTTGTTTGATCTGAAATGAATTTTGCGAACTGCCGATGAACTGAGAACATGAAGTGTAAGTGATTCAGCATAGTGGACAAGGAAAGGAATCAGTTCTTATAAAAAATCATCCTGAACTCAAAATTACTGAAAAATATCGTTTTTTTCTTGAATCGAATTAGAGCTGGCGGATTTTCCGGTCCTGGAATTTCAAAATTTGCCCCAAATTGAGCCAGAAAACACAGTGAAGTGGGTGGAGAAGCGTTAAATGATTTCAGACTTATCACCCGTTAAATGGTCAAGAGTAATAATTCTGAAATTTTGTGTCGAGGCATTTTTTAATGCGGTAAGAAGAGTTGGAGCATTTCAGATTGCATATTCTGACTAAGAAGGAAGCAAAAGCAAGACATTGCTCATCCATCTATTGAAACGCGAGGGCATGA